CACTCCCCCATACATAATTTGGTATCTGGAGGAAAAATTACTTTCTGACACTGAAAATGAAGATAAAGATCAAACAATAACTTTTATACAAATGAGAAAACCCATTTGACTTACAGTTGTTTCTGGCCAAATTTTTTGACTGGTTGGTCACCCTGGAACCAATCACATTGTTTCCTGATATCTGGAGACAAGTAAAAGGCATTTTCACCTAAAAAATTAAAGGAGAAATTTTAATTGAGAAACAGTTTCTCATTTTTGAAACGTATTATAGGAATATAAACCATATCTTTATTTAAACATTCTAATATTTTATTGGGTATTAGGTTTAGTAATATTCTCTATTATTACTATATAGATATACAATAATAGCTTACATGAGCTCTCTTTTATAAAAATATATCAATCTTGTAAGAAATAAAGTGTAGCTTTTTATTCTGCTGTTTCAAATTATACCCATTATATGTCTGGATAGACAACTGCATGGGCCTTTTCTTCTTATTTTTTAAAAGTTATTTGTGAATCATTTTTAAAGGAAAAAAGAGAGAAAAAATGAGCAAGCACGGGCTTTTTCTTTAGCTAGAATTAAGGGCTTTGCTTTTGTTTAAATAGGAAACAGGAAACTTTCTATAAATATAGTGATACAAATAATTACGTTTTTAGTCTAAACCTATAACAAAGGGGCTAGGAATTACTGACAGTATAGGCATCTAAGATGCATGCAAATTGTGTTTGCTCAGAAGGATTAATGGCTCTAAGTTTGACAATAATTGTTTTACTCAACACAAAATCCAGAAATCCTTTCAGAGAAATCCACCTGATTCTAGGATTCTAGGATCAAAGCATCAGATTTGGCTGGCAAACCTTTTATTTAAATATGACTCATGAGATCTGTGTAGCCCTTTCAACCCAACCTAAATGATGGGGGGGGGGGAGTTATTATACAGGAGCGAGCTACAAGTGAATAGCAGCAGGCTGGGATGTTTCTGATTCTGGGGAAGACTACACTAAGTCTTATGACACATAATGCTTAAGGAGCTATGACCAACTGGGAGCTCCTGAGGAAGTACCCAGTCAAATATGCGGGTTTAGATCTGTTTTGCAACATTGCTCTTTGACTGCACAGACTTGCACCCTAAACTACAAAAAGCAGTTCCCACCCAGGTTCAGGTTCTGTGCTGTCTAACCCTGCCTCCATCACAGCTTCTTGGCATGGTGTGCTCTGGCTCTTCCAGACTCTTCTACTACCTTTCACTGACAGGCCAAGCATCTACTTACTGTTGATGAAGGATGGCAAGAGGCTTCCAAAGCGTAGCAAAGGTTCTTCGTGAAGTTCTGATGGCTTATCAGCATATTTGAAGAAGACATCATTAGGCTCACTTGCCAAACTGTAGATACCTTGAATGTTAATATTCCTACCAATGCCCATAACAACAAAAAAATATCCCTTGCATTTAGCTTCTACAATAACTTTCTGAAGGTGTTCCAGTTCTTCCTTTTCAATGTCTCCTGTCATCATCAAAACAATGACTTTGAGATCTCTGGGATTTGGTGCACTCTCAAAAATATGTCTTATTGTATAGTCTACTGCAGTTGCCACAGCCCGTGTTCCATACAGCTGTGACATCTGGGTCTGAATGAAATCCATTAGCTTGTCCCTGGGTCCGTAATCTGTCAGTGACAATTCAACTTTGACAGGAGGTGCGCTTGAGTTTGACTGGAACTCAAAGGGAGCATGCTGGACGACAGCAACCCTGGCATGATGCCGAGATACCTTGGGATCAGAACTAGTTTCCAGTTGGCTTACAATGTATGAAATGTAGCTCTTAATTTCTTTGAATTGCATTTGAGTGGTACTGTCAGAACTATCCAGGATGAATGCTATATCAATGTCAACATCTGTAGGAGCTGCCCGTCTGTCTCTGCCAAAGCTACCCCTCTGGATACCACAACTGGGATCAGGATCACATACATCTGGACAAATAAATACAATTGGTACATAATTAATATTTGCAGTGTCCTTTTTTGTCCTTCAGCTAGACAAAAACAGCAAGATATACAAATTTACAATTGCACCGAGAATCAAAGCATCTAGTAGCTTCCAATTATGCATTAAACAAAACCCCTCAAATATTTAGAGATTTGAAATTCCTGGGATATTTGTTTAGAGTCGAATCTAAAATCCTAGACTGACCCATAAAATTTTCCACCATAAATTTTCCCACTACAATAGGGGCCATTGCACTGGGCAACTGGATGACTGTACTATGAGGAGATTGTAGTACTGCCTTAGAGAGGCCAACTGTAGATTTAAATTTCATCTGGGTTTTATCCACCATCAAAGCAACCCCTGTAGTGAATGAGCATCACAGGGCAGAAATGTAAAAAGAAAAAGTTCCTTGAACAGCACTATTAGAAGCAGAAAAAACATTAGTAACAATCAAAAAACAAATACAGCTGTTCACAAGATTCTTGAAGCCTGCTCAAACTGGAACAGCTGGTTCCAGAATGGTGTCTGGCCATAACCTCATAAGGCATTCTGACCTAATGCCAAGTTGAAAAGAATGCAGGTCCATCTATGGTCCTACAATGTGGCCCTTAAGTGGCAAGGCTTAAAACAAACAAAAAACCCTTTCAAATTTCCTTGGCTCTCTCTAACTTGTAAAACAAACTTCAAGCAGACTGGTTACAAATTGGTTTTGTCATGGTACGCAAATATCTCAAATAAGAAATATGTCATATATTTTACCTAGACAAATATGGCATGTGAACACTTTCTGAAGAGTTGCAGCCAGTTGATTTGGACCACCAGCAAATGTTAAAGCCTGTCCACCTACAGTGTTGTTGTGCTGGTGTAAAACAAGAAGAGAAACATGCAGTCAATGGAATTCTGACAATATTGTCATGTGTATGCTTTTTGGACTTGCTGGCAAGATGACCAAACTGCTAACTGTCCAGCATCTCTAAAATATATCAGGAAAGGGCTTAGCTTTTCTTACTTCCACATGAACACAGATATAGATCTCAGTACTTTTTTGTAAATTGTTTAGTATATTCATCTTTTAGATTCAAAGCCTACCTTTCTGCATCACTGAGAGAAGGATTCAATATGAATGTGCAGTTGGCCGTAGGGTCCAATTCAGACTTTATGCAACAAAGAGTTTGTCCATTCTGTTTGTCCATTCTTTATCTCCTACTATGCCTCCAGAATATCTGAAGGTAGGGCTCTCAACAAGTGGGCCTGTACTAGGGAAATGAAATCTCAACGGCAGCTCCTTGGCATATCCACCATCCATATAATCTTATTCACAAGGAACGTGATGTGAAAAAGTAACAACATATACTTAGCCACAAAACTCATGGAGTGGCTTTGGATTAGGGATCTCAAAACTCATGGAGTGGCTTTGGATCTCACAACCCCAATTACCTCCTCAGATTATTGTGAGGATAAAATGGAGAAGGAATTATGGATGTTATCTTGAGCTCTGGTAGAAAAGGTGGGAGAGAATATAATAAATAAATGTCGGCAGTGCTCAAAAACTGGATCATGCATGAATTCTGAAATCCAGTGAGTGTAACTGCATGAAAGAGTAGCAACAATTTTAACTGGGATACCATGCATCTCTGAGAAAAAGTGCTTACGCTGATACTATTCAAATTAGGGAAGCCACTTCAGCAAAGGTTTGCCTTCATGGTCTGAGAATTTTCCTTTCAACCCTTCTTAGGACAGTTTCAAAAACAAAGGTAGTCACAGGCAGAGCACTCTAACAAAGGAGATTTTCCTATGTTTTAACTAAGCTGAGTGCCAGACCATCTTTTTCAAAACAATGACATCATAGTTGCTATCTCCTCAGTCCCTCCTTTCATCCACAGCGTATACTGACTTGACAGCTCTAACTGGTAAAGAAGCAGCCATACATTGTTAATGGACTTTATGGCTTAGATCCGAAGAACTGTTTACATGATCAGAAACCAGATGCTCCTGCTGGGTAGGGAGTCGTTTCTGCCAACTTCTCCATCCTCAGGGTATCCCTCCCTCACATGACACGATGTTTTTTCTTAATCTTTAGGACTGATTTTTAATTACAAACAGACACAGGAGGAAGAAGTAAGCCCCACTGGATGCATAGAGCATCAAGCATGGATCTCTGAAGTCAAATCATTATTTGGAACATAGGAAAACAAAAACAGAACCCCCCCGAAAACCTTCACAGTAACTGGCAGCCACCACTCCTTCCTGAAGAGAGTAGATATACCTGTTGTGCATAGTCTTAAGGGAAGGGAAGGGAGTCCACAGGAAGGGAGATAGATATATAAAAATCAAGATGACAGTTACAACAGTGCAGAGCTTTGATTGCACTGTCATGGCCACCATCTTGATTTTTTTTACCATACTCTGAGGAGCCCCTTGAGGGAAGATTTGCAGGCATTTCTTGGGAGAAAACAACTGTATGCAAAAGCATCTACACTGTCTGCTGTTTTTAAGACTGCCTGCCTACTACTGATAAACCACAAAACTTTCAGGCTGACAGATATATGTTTGGCTCATTCATATAAGAACTCATCCTTAGGCGGCAGCATCTTTTCCCAGGATCATATGGTTGTCGCTCACAGCTGTAGCACAGTTTTGGGAGAAGACACATTTGGTTTAAGGAATTGCCAGCAAGTGCTCTGTACATGGCCACAAATGCTCTGAAGCACCTTTTCCTTTTCAAATCCAAAACACTGTATGTTCAGTGGTCCAGGAGCAGTGGTCAATATGAAAAAAATAACAAAATTAAGTCATCTTGCTGAGTGCTCCTGAAAGAAAGAAATGCCTGACGGAATCCTACAACAATAATTGATGGATTGAATCCTAGAAAGATTGTGGAAGGGGAAGGAAAATAAAAGGAAGCACACCTGCAATGCATTTATAAGGGCCCTGTCCTCTCTGTTTGTAAGGAACACAGGCACCACTCCAGCATCGTAGAGTTTCAGCACCGCCTCATTCAGCTGTGGAGATGCTCTCGTTGGCCCATTGGTGAGGAACACAGCCACTTTTCTCATAAGGAAGCCGCTACGTGCACGCTTAAAAGTATTCCTGGCCACAAATCCCATGGCTGTTTCTAAGCTACGCTGTTTGGATGTCTGAACAAATTGGAGGTCCTCGATTTGTTTTACCAAATCTTTCTTCTTTCGGGAGTCAGCAAAACGTATCTCGGTGGTGACTTCACTGTTATATGTAACCAGTGCTACTCGGGCGCCCCTGGGGCAGTTGCTCTCTGCAATTGTGATATTGTTAACAATTGACACTACTGCATCTTTCATTCTATTGATAGTGTCTGCATTTCCACCAGCGGCAGTATCAAGAGCAAAGGCCAATTCGGTTGGGTAAACAGGGCATTCTCTTGGACCTGCAGGAGTGGGAACATTAAGAAACAAGTATTGTGAGAAAAAGGGTATCAGTTCTACAGTTCACAAAAATAGCAAGGGGCAGAATTTACCAGCGATTAATTCAGTGCTTGTCTTTCAAAGAAGTTGCGTATGTCAGTTCTTCATTTGACTGCAGGCCTATGCCAGATACTGAATAATTTAAAATGAACTTACCATAACAGCAGGCTGTGAATAATAATAACAGAGAAAAAAAGAAAAGAAATTAGTTTATAATCTATACCAAAAGCCAACTATATCAATACCAGGGGCAAAAGAAACAGACTTACGACATTTATCTTTGATGTTGCGTACAAGCGTGCAGTGCTTTAAAGGAAAAAAAGGAAGAGAGACAGTGAAAAAAAGGTTTCTAGCATGAAGAAATACAAAAGGTCTGGTACCACACACCAATGGTTGACTTACATCTCTCGACTCTCCTTTGTTACCCTTAAGTCCCTGAAAGAAAGGATTTAAAAAATGTAGATGTAATTTACTGTGCATAAATTTAACTGTGCTTGTTTAAAATTGACTTGACAAGTTCAGACACTTGATTAATCATTTGGGAGAACAAAGCCCAGAGACTGGGGAAGAAAGTCTTGTCAGCAAGTTGCCAAGAGCACAAAGAGCCAGCCAGGAATTCCACATAGTCTTCTAGGCTGACTCTGTGCAGGCTGACCCACAGGGAAGCTACTCATGGAGACAAGTAGAGCTTTCTTTCAGAATAATAGCGTGCATCTGGTTACAGCCAGTTTCACTGTCACATCTCCTTAGTGGAAATTGAGTACCACATATTTAAGGGCTTTCCTGCATTTTATTGTTTTTTTAAAGGGTGCCTCCTCTCTCATTTTACAGATTGGGATACCCTGTGGTGCCTGGCTGATATAATGAATTCAAATGTTGGCCGTGCTGCTGACCAGTGTGCAGCCCAGCTCAGAGGAAGACAAGATCCTTCTTGATTTAATTGGTAAATCATTACATTAGATTTCTATATCTAGATTTCTGCATAGCTGAAGCTCACTGAACAATTCACAAAACATATCACCTTTAACAAAATGAGGGAGGTATAATGCAAAACCTGAAATACTTACAAAGTTTTATCTCAAAATCCAAAGTGGGAAGGTTTGAAATGGAAGGTTCAGACTTCATCATTTTTAAATTTGCATAGCTATTCCTTCCTTTATTGTACCTCAGCAAAATACTGACCTATTTGGCCACTGTGTTATTGAGAAAGATGTAGGCAGTGCATTGGTATTCTGAATGGGCTCATGCCAGGGCTTTCCACATACGCTATCCATAATCAGTTCACGCACTGTTATCAGTTCCTGCAACTTTACTTAATCTGTGCACATACTAGAATACTTTTAAGTGACACAAGCAAGTCAGGAATGTGCAGAGTAAACATATTAAAGTCACATCTCAGTTTTTTATGGTTCTTATTAGTTTACTTAAGAGAATGAATTTTAATTTGATTTTACAACTGAAGATGAAAAGGTAGTGTGTGAGCTTACTTGCAAATTGTATGAAAAGAAAGCCCAAAATATACTATAGTAATTAAGTAAAGTTTAGTTACTAAAGCAATAACCAATATAGCAAAAACTTACAGCTGGTCCTGGATATCCACTCTCTCCTTTCTGACCTCTTAGGCCAGGTGGTCCTGAATCTCCCTAAAAAGGGAAGACAACACATTTTATTCATATCATGAGTATCTTTCATATTCATATTATTCATCCCTGTTCTTTCAAGTTAATTGGATATGTCCTTGTTTGTTCAGGTTTCTGAGTCTATTCCCAGTACTACATGCATGATTGCACTGCTATATTCTCCATCGCTCCTACTCCATAAAAAGAGATTCCCCACCCCAACCCCAACTCCAATCCCAGATTCACTAGGCATCTAACATACCCAGCACTTGTCACTATTTAGTTTAATTTGAGGGTTTGCTTAAATTGGCAATCATTTAAATTTCATGTCCCTTTTATTTGCTATGATTTGGTCTTAGTTGAAGGGAAAAGGATTGGGGTTATATACTATTGTACTATTTTAAATAATTCTTGAGGGTCATCTAGTTAAAAGCAACTGAGCTTGCCCTTGGGGGAGGCAGCTGCTAATAGTACAGCTTTCAACTTATAGTAGTGTTTAGCTCCTTTGCACAAGCGAATGAGTATCTCTGGGCTTAGTTTCACAATGCTTACATAATGTTCTAAGCTCTGACCCTAACCCCACTATGACCAGAAGGTACTTGAAAAACATCTTTGCTTCCAACTCTGTAAAGTACAGCTTTGTCTTTGCCTGCAGTTGGTTCGTGGCACTTCTTTAATCAGCACATAGTACAAAGTTTCTCCTTATCTTAGACTAATTCATTTGAATCCCTATGGCTGATGAAGAAGGCAGTGTGGGATCTTATACCTATCTAATATGAATTAATCAGCCTTAATCAGATAGCGAAGGAGAAACTATTTTCATTGAGGCATGTGGTCACAGTGGCATGGTTCACACATAATGCTACAGTAATTAATGGGGGAGTTGGCTTAATGTGAGGCCAGCAACACCATAATCCTTCCTTAGAATTCCAGTGTTAAAATACAAATGAATTAAATTGCAGTAAAATGAACACATCATTATGAAATGTATGTATATTAAAAACCCGATAACAACAACAACAATAAAAAAGACATATACACTATCAGGGCCTGGTAAAAAGATAGAACTTCAACGTAACACACATCATTGTATGTGTGAATACAGGTATCGATGTAAAGCACCCTCTCCAGCCAGTTACGAGTGAATAAAACCAATGCATTCTAGCCCTCCAGGTGGGGGAGACCTATGATATTTACACTGAAGTGCCAATACCAACCCAGCCACTGTATTTAAATCGTTATAAAAGATAAGAATAACCCTTCTCCTGTTACAAGGCCACTGTGGTATACCTTTCATATAGCTATCTTCATTCTAGTTAGGTACACTACAGCTCTGCCAGTAATTGTAACAGAATGACATCTAGAGCAAAGAAAATCATTGGGAAAAGAAATGGAGGAATGGAGTCTTAATATTCTTTGGGAGTCAGAGGAGAAAATGGCATTACCCGATGACCGCTGCTTCCTTTGGGGCCAGGTTTACCATCACCACCATGATCTCCAGGTACACCCTATTCCAAAATGAGAAGCAAAAGATTGACTCTCTGATAAGGATCACACTGGAGCTAATATGCTCTACAAAAACTAAAAAGTGTTTTAAGTACCCGTGGTCCTGGGTATCCTGGGAAACCAGGTTGTCCCTGTGGAAAAAAGAGATTGAAGCCTTAGAATCACAAGAGTTGGGTTCCCCCCCCCTTTTTCTAGTGATTACTGGTATCAACAGAGGCACTATTGATGAGTTTGATACACTGTAAAACACAACTGACCAATATAACCATTTGGACGAGTCATCACATATAATAATAAAGCCGACATGGGGACTCTGTGCAGTTAAATTCAGGGAGCTTTCAAAAGAGGAATCATGAATACCATCAGTATGTTATTTTGACACAAACCCATCATAATAAACTGAGGATGATTCAATTCAGACTGCAATCACTATATCTAATAATGAAGTTGAATCCTTTTGCCCAAGCCCATTGTTCCAAATACTTAAAACTTTCTCATATGGGTGTGTTAAAAAAATTACCTCCACTGGCATGAATAAAAACTTATCCATAGAAATGAATTGTTCAGAAAAAAAGGCTTTGTGGAGAAGAAATTACTATCATTCTCTTGCGTATGAAGAGAAAAGAAACAGAAGGGCAGTTGCAGACTACAGATTTTATATAATTTATTTTGCCGATTGAACAAGTAAGGGGAAGAGAAGGAAAAGCCAAGGAAATGTAGGGTTGAAGCGTGGGCATGAAAGAGCTTGCAAGGAAATGAGAGAGAGTCTAATTTGTGTGTGTGTGTGTGTAGGGGGAGGTTATTGCCAAGGAGGAACAAGAGAAAATGGACAGTCTTGTGTTAGAGGGCAAGAGATCTTTGGCCCTCTGCTGCCAATTCTGTTGCCCAAGCCAGCAGTAGAGTATGCTCTATGGATTTGTAAGTGCAAACATTGATCCTACACATACCATTCTGCCTTTAGCTCCTTCCTTGCCAACTCCATCTCGTCCATCATCTCCCTACAAGATGCAAAACACAAATCAAAATAAGCAACACATACTGAGATCCTGAAAAGTCTCATTGCAACTTAACTGTACAATAATGGGCATTACAAGTCTAAGATGATTCAGTTCTAAGGATGTTCTTTCAGCTAAAGGAGAGGATGGAAACTTTGTGAAATGGTTTATAAGCCATCTGGACTGACCCTGCAGGGAACAATCAAGGTTTTCAATCAAGAAACATATGGAATTGTTCTTGATGCTTTAACAAGAAAATGCGGATTAGCTCTGGTGTCTGTTACCACTCACTCTTTGGGCAGTGAGTAACCCTGGCTCCTACTAACACTTACCATTTCTCCTCGGGGCCCAGGAGGACCAATGGGCCCCTTTGGCCCAGGCTCACCAGCTTCACCCTGTAATTAAACACAATTATTTGAACGTATCATGTAAGATATAAGCACAGTGCTTAGAGAATAAACTAACATTAGGAAATCATTCGTTAAACCTTCTATTCCCCATAAACCTACGTAAACAGTCTTAGAAAATCCATCTTCTCTGCTTCAGTAATCCATCTGAAATATGGAGATGGTTATTCTAATTTATCCTACATTATGTAAAAATGCTTTAAAAATGCTAACTATGATTATTATTAATGGTAATTTTTCTTTTTTCTTTCTGTCTACACATTTTAAAAGTTTCTGGTCAATAATCACAATATTTTTCCTACTTAAAAAAATCCTCAAGTTACCGTACCCAAATTAACACCTACAACTCAACAGAGGTGTGTTTGTCAAGGTATAATGGATTCAGTAGAAACTGTGGCAGCTTACTTGGTGAATATTGCATCCAGTGCCAATTTTTACAAACATAGCAACAATATGAATAGTAACAGCTGAGGAAAATAAAATCAATCTCTAGCTGATTGTTTAAGTCAGTGTTTCTCAACTTTAGCAACTTTAAGATATGTGGACTTCAACTCCCAGAATTCCCCAGCCAGCATGTCCACATATCTTAAAGTTGCTAAGGTTGAGAAACACCGGATTAAGTGCATAGTAGTGGTTAGGACATTGGGCTTGAACTGGAAAACCCAGACTCAAATCTCCCTTCAACCACAGAGCTTACAGGGTAGGGCCACTGGACCTGGGCTGCAAGAATCCAAATGACTACTAGATGGCAGCCAAGATATAAGCTCACGTGGCTGCCATCTAGGGGCTTTGGAGATGGTTACAGCAGGTGTTATCCTGCTAAAGCCTGCAAGCAAGCAGCCACATTTTGCACCCACTGTAGTTTCTGGGTAGTCTTCAAAGACAGCCCAAGTAGAGTTCAAGAGCAGTGAGGGTCTGAGTCACTGTCCCCAAAGCTTCCCATCCACACAGGGACGCAACTTGTGCACCAGCTGAAGCTGGCTCCTCCAGTCATGGCCTCCATGTACCGATCAAGCAGAAGCTGTGAGTCCAACTCCCAAGTATAATATATAATAGGAGCAACAAAGAATCCAATATTTTCTGAATAAATGTCAGCCATTTCACTTGCATTTCCCCATGTACTTTGTTGGGGAAAAAAGGATACCATTTGCAAGTGTTTTTAAAATATTCTTATCTCTCCTGAAGTAAAATGGTGTCATGTTAGCTGATTATTTAAATTTTCACCTATTTTTTAAATTAAACAAGATATAATAGGATTTTTAAAGCTCCAGCAGGAAAGTCTAATGATATTGCTACCTCAAACCAAGTATTTAAAGATTTTAGCAACATTCTTGGTATATATATATATGTATATATATATATAGAGAGAGAGAGAGAGAGAGGGAGAGAGAGAGAGAGCGCACGTGCACGGGGGGGCAGTTTGGTGCAGTGGTTAAGGCATCAGGCTAGAAACAATATATAGGGGATAGTGAAAACAAGGTTCATTTCAACTGCCACCATCTCTCTGTCACTTTAATAGTAATTATTAGAATTTCTGAAACTGACCTTTTTACCAAGAGGACCAGGCCTACCACGCTCCCCAACAGCTCCAGCTGGACCTGCAGCACCCTACAGAAACAAGAAATTATAGGGTGGTCAGGTTAGTAACTGTTCCAGAAAAATTGATGGAAACTAATTAAAAAGGAAAAAAACCCTAAGCATATAGAGGAACAAACCTCGCTATGAAAAATCAGCATGGATTCTGCAAAGGTAAATTTTGCCTTGTCCGCTTTCTAAAGTTTTCTGAGATTGTCAATAGGCCTGTGTATGGAAGCAAGCCTATTGCCATTGTATAGATTTTCAAAAAGCCTTTGACAAAGTTGCTTATCAAAGACTCCTTGGTAAATTTGTATCTGTGGAATAAAAACACTTGTCCTTTTATGTATTGTTGAATGGTTAAAAATGACAAGCAAAAAGTAGAAATAAATAGGCATTTTTTTCAATGCAGAAAATAAAAAGCCAAGTCCTTCAAGGACTCATGCTTTTTCACCTCTTCATAAATGATACTGGCTTGGGATGCCAAACTATTTAGGGTAGTGAGGACCAAAGGAGATTGTGAAGATTCCAGAAGAACTTGTTAAACTATGTGAATTGTTAAGGAAAGAGCCAATCAAATTCAGTTCAAACCAGGACACAAAACCCTAGCTTCATGTCCATACTTCTGGGGTCTGAGCTGTCTGTAACTAACCATAAAAAAGATCTTGAGAACACAGCAGGTAGCTCAAGATGTTGACTCAATGTACAGCTGCCATGAAAAAGGCAAGCTCCACACTAGTGATCATTAAGAAAGGGACTAAAAATAAAACTGCCAACATTGTAGTGCCCTTATACAAATCTGTGATGCCTTCTCATCTGGAATTCTGTGTATTGCCACATATAATACAGCTGGAAAGGATATATAAGCAAAGAAAATTGTCCAATGCCTTCCTTATGAAAAAGGGCTAGAAAATTTGCAACTCTTTGGTTTAGGAAAAAGGTGGCTGCAATAAGACATGCTCAAGTCCATAAAATCACATGTGGTGGAAGTGGACCAGGAGAAGGTCTTCTTCCTCTTGCCAAACACAAGGACCAGGACTCTTCCAATGAAGCTGACTGGACAAAGATTCGCAACAGGTAAAAAAGAAAGTAATTCTTCATGCAGGGCACAGTAAGACTCTTGCCAAAAGCATGGTAATGGCCATTAATTTGATGGCTTTAAAAGAGGATTGGAGGAAAGTTTGTACTCTTGGACTCAGTGTTACTTCTGGCTTGGGGACAGCATGCCTCCAAATGCCAGTTCGGGAGACTAGTAGTGGAATAGGGATGTATCTCCATCCCCTGCTTGCGAGTAGTACCCGTGAGGCCTTTGGTTGACTGCTGTGGGAAACAAAATACTGGATTAAAGTGTGGCTTGGCTTAATCCAGTAAGACTATTTCTAAGTCAAGGGCCAGTTCAAAACGTTTCTTAAAAAAACATTTAGCAGGTTTCCATGCAGATTCGGGCATCAACCACATTCAAATCATCATGTTGCAATAGATTTGTGTGAATATTATCATGCAACGTCAGAGGGCTATAAATCCAATCCTTGTTATTGCCCACTTGCAGGGCAAATTCTCAGTTTCTTGTACAGATTCTTCATAAAAACCCCAAAGAAAAAACTGCCAGGCCATTTGGGGCTGACCTAACTTTTTAAGTGATCGAGGCAGCTGGGGTTGTGGGTTTATCTTCTGTTTTACCAGAAAAGGCGCCCAACAGCCATAAAGGCCTGTGCAGAAACTGCTCTTTGTTGTGCTTCCTGGAGTGGTCACATGACCACCCCATGTGCCTACCAGGATTATGATATGACTCTGCAGCTTTTGTTAATGAGAAGAGAAACACTTATCTAGATTTCTTTCCTGCCAGGGTGAAAAGAAATTGACTGCCAACAGGATCCATAATAAAATTCTCTTCCACTCCCAGTCCCCACAGCTGTCTAATGTTAGACCGCTCCTCAGTGACACTTCTGGTGAAGACTAGAAATAGACCATAATCACTGAGTTTTCCCCATCTAAGAGTGTTTACAATTTGTTTTTTAAGAACATCCTCGAAGATAAAAAAACCGAATTTTACCCTCTGACCAGGGAGGCCGGGCTCTCCTTGAAGGCCAGGAGTTCCAGTTTTGCCAGATGGTCCCTGTACAAATAAGCAAAAATAATTAGTTGAGGCAGAAAAGTTTTGGTATAAAATTGTACATTCTTGAAATACAAGTTTATTATGAACTAAGATGTGAGATCATCTCCCAAAGCCACATTACTATGTTATCACTGAACGAACAGAAATGAATGAATTTACTTTTTCCCTCTATCAAAAAACCTCAGACAACTGCATCACATAGAAGGGAACATAATGTAATACTCAGAGCCTTACGTAGACCTCCATTTAGTGTGCACATAGACATTTACATCAGTCAGATGTGATGCCACTGGAACATGCAGTGATATAAAAGACAACACCCATTATTTCTACAGTGCTTCACGTATGGTTTAGCAATTCTACTGCATTCTTAACATTATTAATTAACATTTTTAGAATTATGAAATGCACTGAGCAGAGGGTTGGACTATATGACCTCTAATGCACTCTAATTCAATTCTATGAATCTATGATGCTGTGGAAGACAATAACACTCATAACAACTTCAGATGGCAATTATACATATATGCACACACACACAGAGAAATCCGTAGTTATCAGCAGTTGTTGCTGTTAAGAACTGACAGCTTTTAATCTTTTGTATGTATTTGAGGGCCAGCATTTCATGGGCTTTTGGCTTCCTGGTTTCTGACTCTACAGTGCTGAACTTCTCTGTATCTTTTTTACCTTGACTTTCTATTCTATTCTATTCTATTCTGTTCTGTTCTGTTCTGTTCTGTTCTGTTCTGTTTCATTTTATTTATATAAAGAGTTAAACAATATTATCTATAATCTCCTTCTGTAGCCTGCTTCTTCTTGGGCACTGTTTTGGGGGACTCTGGCCATAAATTAATACAATCGTAAACTATATTATATGACAACTCAAAATAATACTTGATGGCTTTGAAACAGCTGTAATCTACAAAAGCTTTTTGCAATTAAACAGGTAACAATAAACTAGTTAGTAACTTAATAAACTGCTATTGAGCTTGTTGTTGTTTTTGTTGCCACAGATTAACACAACCTCCCTCCTCCTCCACCTGACATACCTCCATTATGTCATTTGTCTCATATTTTCTATCTTTGAAAAATGAGCTGCAAAAACTCACCTGGGGACCTTTAATTCCTTGTTCTCCATCAAATCCTGGTGGGCCAAGGGCACCTTTATTTCCCTAAAATATATTAAAATAATTGAATGGACAATGTAATGAAACCAAGGATTAGTCAGCCTACATGGAACCTGGAGAGATTTTGGCAGTCTACAGCCCTCTTGCTCCTCATGCAACAGATACAAACCACAGAGCTCAAATTATGCTTGCCTGTTCTTTGCCTCAAGCCAGCATATTTATCTGTTCAAACATGTCCTCAAGAATCTGTGTATTTATTTATGACAATTTTCACATTTGAAATGCTGTTTGAAGAAATGAACGGGTAACTGCGATTAACACGAGGTGCAGACTGTCACTCTTGTGATCTGGCTTCTGCCGAGAAGCAAACAGGTTTGCTTTTGTTCAGTTCCAGGAAAAAGACACGATCTGCCCTGAAATGCAATTTCATAATGGGCAAGGTATGTCATGAAATAGCTGTAAAAGGAGACTGGGGAAAGTTATGATAAATCACTGTAATGAAATAATGGTTAGCAACAAGCGCTAGGGAAATCCTACTGTACCACTTTCTTGCAGGGCTCTTGGAAGCTACTGCTTGTTAAGGCAGACTGGCATTCTCTTGTGTTCATGTGACTTCAGTTAAAAGCTGCATTCTTCTTATTTCCTTTGGACACGTGGGTCAAATGGAGCTAGGTTCTGTCAGTGGATGTGAATGCAGCCATTTTCATTTCTTAAGTTTTAAAATTTACTTTCTTCTGGAATTATCCACATACTTGATTAAAAGTCTCACCTTCCTTAAACATTTATGTCTATAAAACACATGGACAGACACGGACCAGTCAGGATTTCAATCACTCTATCGTAATCTAATTTACAGAGTTGCTGTGAGGATATAGTGCACACCAAGAACCATGTTCTATATGCCTATGGTACTGTAATGGGTTTTTTTGGAGGAAAGGTAGAATAAAGATATAATAAGTAAAAAAGAGCCTTTTTTTGTAAAAGTAAAAGAATTATAACTAAGTTGCCTTCTAGACTGAAGTTCTTATTTATAACTATTTCATAAGCATTTTTTTTTCAAACAGATGTTTGTGAAATATATCCATGCTGTGCATGAGTGTTTGTACATGAAAAATATATATGATTTGTTCCAAAAAGGATTCTAAAATGGTTGTCTATCTGAAGCATCCTGGTGGACTGAGTAAGTATATTCTCAACAAATTCTCCCAAATGCAAAGTTATTTAACAACTGAGAATTTCAACAATAATATTCTATATTTTTCATTTTTCCAACATTTCCAAGTAAGGACATCACTTAGTTTTGGCTACCCTCCCTTCCCCTACCCATATGTATACACAATATTTATAAGACACATACAGAATATTTATATAACACAAACATACATCATGTAAAAACCTAATAAAGGCTTACTTTGATCCCTGGTTGTCCTCTTCTGCCAAGTCCTCCCTTGAAACAAATATACCATAGCCATTAATGTTATACAAAGATATTACTAGAAAAAATATTTTTCTATTTTGGTAATTGCCTACAGTTTATTATTCTTTGGGGGGGTTTTTTCCTTGTGGATACACAAACTGAAACTGTGTACCTGTCTACAACCAAATGCTGTAGGAAGTAAAGGCCTCAGGCTTCAAGGTGTAAGAAAGGGAATGAATAAGATTTGGCCCTAGAGGTATGTACAAAATAGAAAATATGTTTTGTTCAAGCTTGGAACAGAACGGCCTTGCTCAAAAATTCATTTACATTGTTCTGATTTAGCTCTGTTCTAATGGAACAAAAATGGCTAGACGATTCCATCAGAAGGCAACTTGAAACATTTTGAGTATTTTAGCCATATAGAAACATGGGAAACATGGGGATTTAGTACACGTTCCTGATCCTTTGTTTTTCATTCAGATTAGTTGTGATGGTAGTTCATACTGATTCCTATCTCAAAACCAAATTACAGAAAAGCTGTCCAGGAGGATAATTTTTAAAACATTTTGAAAATATTAAAATAAATTCCCATAGGTAGAAAATGAGACTATGATTATATTATTACCCACTGAAAAATCTGTTTAGATTAGAATCTATTATCCAAAAGCCCTTGCCTTTCTTAACAGGGAGAACAAATATGGGTCTTTTTAATTATTTAAATAAACGCTCTAGGTTGCTCAGGATTAAAAAAAACCTAACAAATCTGTTTAATTTTTTTTTCATAAATTTCTCCTCTATGAGGTTTTCTTAAGATTTTGACATTCTTACTCAGGTTTATTTTTATTTTATTTTATCTTTGTAGACACTGATCTTCTATTCAGCAAGTTCAAGCAAGAGAACTGGCATGTTTTTTCCCCTGTCAGGGGCAAGCACAGCAACTGACTTAGTCTTGTCAGAGGTTTTTATTTGGACATAGGAGTGACTCCTGATTACAAAAAATGGGCTGCTGGTTCTTTTTAATTGTACTAGTAAAATGACAGAAAGGTATGTCCAGAATGCACTCACATTCCAAAGCTCAACAAATTCCATCATCCTTAACCCAATACAGAATCTTTGTATTTTTAAATATAACATGAAGCTCAATATTAATAAGACACAAGAAGATGTATATATACGTGCATACTAAAACTCAACAGAGCAATCAAACCAATGCTGTATTAGTAGATTTTGCAGTTAAACAATCTCAACGCCAGTGGCATATATAGAACTTTTCAAATGAAACAAAGCAAAGCATATTTACAGGCTACCCGCCTACTCTCATTAACTGTAACTTCCCATAACAATCAGAAACACGCATGCACACACAAAGCAGCAATAATTTCCTAGGCAGGCTGGCAGACATTCAAGCAATCTTCTTCTGCCTCATAAAGGTAATGATAAAGATGCCCTTGAGTCAAAATCAGCTCCTGGTAACTACAGCAGTACAGAGGAGGTTTGCATATGCTTAACTGCTATGTTTGCCTCACCGCTTCACTGGCGTAACATCCCATGCAATCTAAATCAACCACAGCAGGGACATGACTGGTCCCAGTTGTTGTACGGACTAGGCTGAAAAAGTCTGAAAAAAGTAACCCAATCATAAGTCACATACAACAGCCCAACTTCTGTGTTCAGAACAGTCAGAACACCAAAAAAGAACATTTTGCGATGTTGACCTTGAAACAAACACTCAAAACACATGTTTTGTTTCCATTTCAAAGTCAGTATAGTTTGTGATAGAAATGTTGTGCGCATCCTGACCCAGTTCTAGCTCTGTTTCTCAACATGATGCAGGGCAGTGAGAGAATCTTCCTGCCTTGGTTATCTTTATTCCTTAAACATAATTTTGTAGCAACTGCTCGTAGTTCTTTCCTGACCAGCATCCTCATTCTCTTCTTCCCCTGGTCCGTCCTGGAATCAAGATATATATCTTCCAGTCTTCATCTGACATTATTCCCTGTGAGAATAGGAGCTCTTTTGCTCTTTTATCACAGGGACAAAACTATTAATGCCACCATGTCATCTTTCTTAGTTGTCTCTCCAGATTAAAATTTTGCAGCATGTAATTCACATCACCTCAAATTAAAACCAATAAATCAGTCAATATTTCACATCCAGCAACTTAATCAAGGGATGCTACACAAGCTTCTCTGGAGTAATGCAACACTATTGACAAAACTGCAACACAATAATCAGTCTTTATTGACTTTCCTTTCCTCATTGGCCATATTCCTCTCCTCCCCACTACGCACCTCAATTTCTCCATTTGGTTCAGTAAATATCAAAATATGAATAATTAAACAAATACATTCGCTTTTAAAATTTGAAGTGTGAATCGCAGCACATAATCTCATGCAATCATGGGATACTGCCTCAACTTATTGCCATGACCTAAATTGTTCCTATGTTATTCTAAACCATCCAGGAACCAAATTTGATTAAGCACAGTATTTAAACATTTCAATTAAATACATTAATATATATGTTTGACTGGGACTTGTAAAGGTCTCTTATTACCCTGGAAATTATTAGTTATTAGCAAATCAAATAACAGGGAGAATTATACGCACATCTCTTCCAATTCCTCCTGCGTCACCTCGTGGTCCATCTCTTCCAGATTCTCCCTGTAAGAACAGAAAACAGAGAACACTGGAATTGTTTATCACTAAATAAGAGACAAGTAGCAGTCACAACAGAACAATAAAGAACATTTTAGTTAAATGTATTATTTTTTAAAAAATTCTATTCTTTTTTTTCTCTGTAAATTATGGCTATGTAAGATTCTGAACTGACTCCATTCCAAGTCTGGGCCTCAATAAAGCTCTGGTGCCAAATATCTTTCTTTTTTCATAAGCATTATAATGAGGAAAGGAGGTGGGATTTATACTGGGTTCCAGAAACTGGTTAAGTTTGCTCTCAAATTAGAGAGATCTTAGCGATCATGCCACCATTAGTTACTGTATATCAAACAGAGTGTTTTATTGGATGGAAAGTGTTGAAATGGAGAAATTATGAGTTTTATATTTTACCCATAATGGTCTACCTCTTTATTGATGGTCTCTCTTCCTGAGTGGTTATATGATGTTGTTTTCTGAGTAGGTCTGACCTAGTGATTGATTTCATTTTCAATTGATTAACTTTCATTCCTCATCCCTCCCATTTCTATTATGGGGAAACCAAAATGTTTATAGACACATGTAGCTTTACTTTACTAGTCTTGAGGCAATTAGTCCAGTCATTAGATTGGGTTAAATTCTCTAGAGCAATCTGGACTGGATTTTGGAAGTTGTAGGACAGCCTCCCAAGCCAGGTGGCATCTCTATTTAACCCTCCTACAAATTCAAGAAGTGATACTTTACCGCTGGTCCAAGTTCTCCCTTTTGGCCTTTTGGTCCTTTCTGAGTACTATCAGTTCCAGCAGTGCCCTAGAAGCAGCCGAAGCAATGAAAAGCAAACAGAGTGACACAAAGGTTATAAAATGTTTACTATAACACAGTTGTCAGAGTGATGGACATAGTTCAGAGCAAGTTTGCCTTCAATCCTGACACATCCACAGAGCTCATATAGTAACCCTTGGCCTTGTTCGTTGCTCTAACTTTTCTTGCCAAATGTTGTAAAAGTAACACAGGGAGATCCATGGATTCTGCCCCAATCTCCTTGAAAGAGGGGTAGGATGTTTCTACTTTAGGTGCTGTGAAGTGAATTTAAATGAAGCATGTTGCCACAGTGTCTCTAATTCAGGAACTCTGACATTTTGCCATGACGGGCTTTTCTTATGTGCACCAAGCAAGTATTGTTTCTGAGTTCTAAAAGAAGGCAAAGCAAACTATTTTCATTCCTCAGCATCTCACAGAAGTAGGGAATGCTTCAGCAAGCATCCTACAGATCTGTGAAGCATCTTGGTCCAAATTCTCTGGGTACATTCAGGTGCACAATGATGGCTACATTGGGCTGATCCTGCAAGACTCCCCAAATCTCATTCTGCCTGAACTCCAAGATGTTTCCTGCACAAAAGCTACACAAAGTTGAAGACTTATAGGCTTCAGTGATATCACTTGTACTTTGACAAAATGAGAAGAAAAAGAGGAAGGTTTCTGAACACATGGATGCAAATTTAGGACACTAGACTGCAGGAGGAGAAATCCTTACTCAGAAGTTTTGGTGTACCGACCTTGTCCACATAATTGACTTGTTTGACCTTGTTTGATAACTTGCTTCAGCTTACTAACATACTTACATTGGGAAAGAGAATTCTGATGATTCCCTGGGCCTCTTGATAATATTCTGGCTTGTTTGGGTTTAGGAAGCAGAGTAATGTTGGGTTTAAATCTTTTATGGCCCAAAGTGGCACTGAGCCTGCCCTGTGGACTGTAGAATTTGGGGTACTGGACGTTTGTATTCTATCCTGCACACAATTTAATATTTGCATGAAATGGCTAAAAATAAGTCATTAAGAATGGGTGAGAATTCTGGTTGATTCAGATTATTTTTCAGAAGAATTTATATAGAAAAATGTCTTAAAAATCTAGATTTTAGTCCATGTATTGTGGTACTGAATTGGGATTGCTGCCTCTCTTTTCTGATAGGTTTTTCCTGTTTAACTGCTAGATGACAGGAGTTACAGAATGGACCTCTCCAGGCAGCTTTGATAAGTAACCAAAATTCACAAACCTCTTAATAAATTAAAAAGAAGAAATTGGGAGTTTAAAAAATGAACATGAAAGGGCAAAGCAGCACAGGTTGTAACTCAAGATGATGCATCCTCACTCATGATGGTGTATTCTGTCCAACTAGTATCCATCCCAGAGCAGATACAAATTCAGAAATCAATCCGGTGTGCCTGCAGATGCTTCGTCCTGCTCATCTTCCCATTAGAGGGATTGGTCTTTCTAAAAGACCATTAGACTGCTGAAATGGAAGACACTGAGAGGAAAACAGGAGTGGATTTTTGAGTGGTCCAAGCTTAGTTCTGAAAACAGTTTCCTAGGCTCAGCATGTGCTTCGAAGCCCTCTGTTCTGCTCTCCTGAACCCTTGTTTTGCACTCTTCTGTCTCATAGGCCTCAAGATTTCAATAAAAATAAAGTAGTTCTTGCAAGTCTGAAGTCTGCCCATTCTGATAGTTAACATCTGAAAACTGCTGCAATTTGAAATCTGAAGTATAAACATCTCAGGATCTTTCAACATATTTACCGGATCTCCTCGAAGTCCATGGTCACCTGGTTCTCCTACTTCTCCTTTGCTTCCTTTGCCACCCTATAAAGATATTATTTCCATAATATCAGAGCCATTGCCCATAACAATGGAATGCTATAATTAATGTGACTTTCAGCTTACCCTGGCTGGCTTTTCTATCAAGAGAATACCAGCAGAAAGGGCACGGGACTAGCCATCTCTCTTTCTTGAATGCATGGCCTATTCAGGGAACTGGGCTGTATCTTATAATTCCACATCAGGCCCCTTGGGTTAGGGCTTTACTGGAGAAAGTAAAAATGGTGGGATCTTTGCTGATTTCCCAGAAGCCCCTTGCAGCTCTGGGACCAGAGGGACATTCTTTGGTTGTTTGGGAGCTAGCATCCATTCTGGATTATGCTTTTTTTGAAGTTTTGGAATAATAAAAGCATTAAACTTACCCGTCTACCAGGGCTTCCCCTCTCCCCAGGAACACCTGGAAAGCCTCTCTCTCCCTGGCAAAAGCAACCAGATTAATTGAATTTATTAATCAAAACGTGTTACTTAAATGAGTTCTAATCAGAAAGAAAGTTGTTCTTTATTAGTCCAAAAGTAACTCAGATGACTTACCTCTTCTCCATCTATTCCATCAAGCCCAATCTCCCCTAATTCGCCCTGCAGAACCAAAGAAAGTAATTAATTATTGTAATCCAAAAAAGAAAATACATAGATGAAAATGACAATGAGAAAAGTATAGGACAGGAAAATGTATATTCTTTTTTCTTCTGTTATATCTGAATGGTTACGTACTTTTTCTCCTGGGAATCCACGGATGCCCTACAAAACAGAAAGAATTATAATTTATTTAATTAAAACTTCATTCAATTCTTCAAAAACCTACAACTACTGAGGAAAAGGAGTAGTCAAATAATATTCAGATAACATCACAGAATTCTCTCAGTTTTTCTATAAACTGAAGGAAGAGTTGGAATGACCTCGAAATAAATATAGAAACAAACAAAAAACAGCAAGAAGGTTGTTTCACAATGAGCAAGGAAGCCTCAGTTTATCTATAAAGACTGCCATTTGATGTATACATTTTATTACAAAAAAAGAAATTCCACTGAAATCTCCCTGCATCTTTATAAGAGAGATGAGGGAAGCTGTGTAGGCTATGACTGGCTAAGATAAATTCAGTAAGTAAGTTCTGCTTCTTACATCTGGAAACCCTGTTTTCTCACCCGCTCTCCTGTTCTTCTCAGAGCTTGCCTTCACCCACCTACTCTCCCCCCGCAAAAGTATTTGGACAATACTAATTTTCTATCAGCTGTTACAACTAGATTGTAGTAAACTGGGCTGGTGTCCACTGAGAAGTGCATCTCTGTTCTTCCTTTGTAGAGCCTGATTCCCTTTCTTTACCTTCATTCCCCTTTCACCAGGGCAGCCTTGAAATCCTTGGGTTCCGTTTATCCCGGGGGGTCCACGGTCACCCTTTGATAAGAAAGAAAGAAGAACCAGAGTCAGCATGGATGTCTCCTCAGTCATAAACAGATTTCTGAGTGATGGCAGTTAAGGAAAATGGACAAGTGAATACTAGGAAGGAAAGAAGATGGATGGATTGTGGGTTTGTCAGATTCTGTAACAAGAATATTACATTGGATGTTATGCACCAATTAAAGTACTGCACATTTCTGTCATCATACATTCAGACAATCCTGACATCTAAAAGTATACAGTTTCATAAAGGAAAAGGGCGATTGGGAGGAGTTTCAGCCCAATGGTCATATTTGATCCAGGGCCATTGGGATCCAATGACTTGCAATGGGCAAGGCCATAGCGTCTAACATTCTTTTGTGGAGGCAAGTTCTCTTTTATATACATTTGTGCATTCTTCATGCTAACCCATGCATACCTGCCCTCTCAAAATCTGTTCTGACTCCAGCATGGCAATGAGACATATAAAAATCCCATACTGGAATAATGGAGTCCATTTCAAAACTTGTCTGAAGCAAAGGTGTGATTTCAGCCTCAGTAGCAGATCTCTCAAAAATGTTTCCCAACTGGCAATAAGCTTTAAAAAGACTTCTGTGGGCACCAGTTGAAGCTATTTTAAAGCAGATTGCAGTGAGAGAGTATTTTTGCTACACAGCTCTGAGGAGGAGGTTTAGTCTTCCTCCTCCCACCTACCCAATAGCAATCTGCCCAACGTGCTCCTCATGAAGTCTCTACTAAGAGGCTTCCTAGTCCTTGATGGCACGAAGCCTGAATTGAGTGGATGGAAGGAGCTGGGGACTTTACCCACACCTATTCCTCTTTGTCCTCTTCCTTTTTAGGGAAGTACCTTGTGCTTTAGATACAAAAAAAACAAAAAACCCAGGTTTATTGCTTCCTTAACCATCTCCACTTGATTCCCATGACAGAGAAGAATAAGAACTTTGTTTAGCTCTAAATAGCCTTTCAGCATTAGATGGTTGCATGGTGTCTGTATGACACCCTACTCCTTGCTATTTGTCCTCATTAAGAATATGTGTAAACAGAGACGTGTTCTCTTAATAGCACATTTAATCTGGACCTATATGTGTGTGTGTGTATCTCTGTATCTATATTGGCATTACATGATTCCAGATAGAACATTCACATGGAATTTTAATGACATGTGCAAACTATAGATAAAATTTGGATCTTCTGTTACTGTGCATAGCAGGTAAGAAAAGGCAGCCTGTGCATCAATATATATGTAGCATGGAAGAAAAAAGCAAAATGTTGTTAATACACCGCCACAGCATGAACAAAAGACTGTTACAACACTAACACTGTGGCACCATGTTCCTGCTTTGCCTCTCCTTCTCCTCCTACTCCACCC